AAAAAAAAAAAAAAAAAGTCACCTAAATGCAGCCGACTTCTGAGTTCCATCCACAGCTTTCTGAGTCCTGTGTTCATTTGTCCGCCGCCTGCTGGACAGCTGTCCTGCTTCTCCACTGTGCATCTGAAGTTAACCTTGACCTTCCCTCACATCTACCCCATGTCAGGGAATAACTCCACCTCCCACTGCCTGGAGCACTTTGCTTGTTTCTCTCAGCCCCACATCCATCCATCACAACCCGTCACCTCTACTTCTAAAATACATCCAGAACCCCGCCTCTTGTCACTCCTCCTCTGCCACCAACCTGGGCCTGGGGACACAGCCTCTTGCTTGGATTACTCCTCTCTGGCTTCCCTGCCTCTCCTTTGGCCCCAAGTCTCCTCTTAAAACAGCCTGGGTGAGCCCCACCTTTCCCTGTTTGTACCTTTAGTCAATTTTTTTTTTTTTTGAGACTGAGTCTCACTCTGTCACCCAGGCTGGAGTGCAGTGGCGCGATGTGGGCTCACTGCAAGCTCCGTCTCCCGGGTTCTCGCCATTCTCCTGCCTCAGCCTCCCGAGTAGCTGGGACTACAGACTTTTAGCCAAGATTTTTAAGATCAGGAGAGTTTATGAAAGGGATCAGCGTCCTTTCAGGTTAAAACATGCGGGAGTTAAGAAGCATCTGTGTATGCAAAGCCTCCCTGAATAATTGAGGACAGCTAAGTGAGAATCAGGCTTTCTGCACTGTTGGCCCGGAGCCCAGCCCCGTGGCTCTCCAAGTGTGGCCCCTGGACTGGCAACATCAGTGCCACCTGGGAACTTGGTGCAAGTTCTCAGGCCCCGCCAGGCCTGCTGTATCTGAAATGTGGGACTAGTCCTTCTAACATGTGAGACAGACCAGGCCCCTCCTCTGCTCCTCTACGGTGGCTCTCCGCTGACTCGGAGTAAAGGCGAACCTCCCGCAGCAGCCGACCAGGCCCTGCCTCAGAGGGCCCCTTATGCCCGCCCGCCTGCACTGGAAACCAGGCGCGTGTGCTCTGCACCCACGTCAGGGCGTCTGCACCTGCCGCTCCTTCCGCCGCTCCCTCGCCTGCTTGGTGAGGCGTCCGCCACCATCCTTTTCAAGTTCCAAGCCCGGTATCACCTGCCTTCTTCCCACTTTCTGACCTGTTGTGTTGGGCTGGTTTGCTTATTGTCTGTCTCCCCTGCAACCCTGACTCTAAGCACAGGCGCCTTTGTTACCCGATGTGTCCTTGGCACAGCCGCTGGAACAGCACACAGGGCAGAGTGGGCGCTCGGTGCATGTGGAACCAATGAGGTCTGTGTGAAAAACATCCTGGCCGGGCGCGGTGGCTCACGCCTGTAATCCCAGCACTTTGGGAGGCCGAGGCAGGCGGATCACCTGAGGTCAGGAGTTCAAGACCAGCCTGGCTAACACGGGGAAACCCTGTCTCTACTAAAAATACAAAAATTAGCTGGGCGTGGTTGCAGGTGCTTGTATTCCCAGCTATTCGGGAGGCTGACGCAGGAGAATCACTTGAACCCGGGAGGTGGAGGTTGTGGTGAGCCGAGATCACACCACTGCACTCCAGCCTGGGCGACAGAATGAGATTCCACCTCAAAACAACAAACCTGCCCAGGCGCTGGTGCGGAGGAAGCATCCCATCAATTAGAGCTCTAAAACTAAGGATCTGCCGGGCGCGGTGGCTCAAGCCTGTAATCCCAGCACTTTGGGAGGCCGAGACGGGCGGATCACGAGGTCAGGAGATGGAGAGCATCCTGGCTAACACAGTGAAACCCCGTCTCTACTAAAAAAAATACAAAAAACTAGCCGGGTGAGGTAG